GGGGGGGGGGGGGGGCAGGAGCTCCAACAAGCCGTTTAGGACAGAGAGTGAAAACACATAGGCCTACTATACAGAGATGCTGTATGAGAAACCAATGTGAGTTTGGAACATTGAACAATTTAAATCTATTCTAGTAGACCTCAACAATGGAATTATGATCAGTAGAAATGGCCATGACATGGGACCTTTAAAAAGATGCTCTCCGTTTTGTTTTCTCCAACAGTTAACTGTATAGTGTTTGTTCTGTGCAGAAAATATATCGACATTTAAGTGGGCCAATAATGCCAATGATGATTCATGATGATTAATAACAGTAAACATTCTGTCTGAAGCAGGAGAAGTTTACACTGTGTTTGAGCATTTAAAGTTCACTTGCACTGCTGTTAAATATAGACCCAGGTCCTCAGTCCTGTACATTTATGACGGGGTCATTGGCAGTCAGAAGAAATCTCTATTCACGTCACATACATTTATGTCAGTGTCAGGTCTTTATGCTAATTTAGGGCTGCAGTTGGTGGTAGTGATGTAATCTGCCATTCTGATTGTAGAGGTTTTTATTTTATTTTTTAGACTGTTATAGACATACAAGGAAGAATTGTTAGAAAAATTTCCATTTTGTATACAGTCGCACAGAACATCACTGGAAGAAAACCTTAGCATGAAGAATGTGAGCAAAGGGAATCATCTGCAACCTCCAAGTTCAGAGCTATCTGTGAAATGACTTAATTATATTTGTAGCTAATGTTGATGCTATCGCCTATATAAGGACCCTGTATAGTTTTAAGACCATAACCTTTGTTTGTGCTCAGATTCTGCATCCTCCTTTAATGTGTCTATTACCGTGGTCACATTTCCCTATATATTTGTGTATCTTATAAAAGCTGTTTTGTGTCTATATTCACATTGTATTTTAAAGTAGCCTACATCTGTTTGATTTCAATATTGGAATAATGAAGTTGGCTTATCCAAACTTCCTGTTATGTTTGATTTTTTCTCTAGAGAGAAACTTCAGTGCCACCGCGAAGAATCGGTTCTATTATAGATTCCAGATTTTAATGTAAAATTGACCTTTTATTTCACAAAATGCCCTGTGTGCTTTCCAGTGCTGCAGCAGGTCAAGGTTCTGCAGGAGACAGCAGGACCAGGTCCTCTGAAAGGCAGGAGTTGGATCTGGTGTCGAGTGAGGCAGGTGATGTGGATGTCTCTGGGATGTGGCCAATTCATTAATAAAGATATTGATTAGTCGGACAAAAAGCATCCATATCTCACTCCATGCTACTGAGAGAAACATGTTATCCTTACCTGCGCTCTTGATGTTTGTGTACGTTTAATTATGTCATTATGTAACTTTGTAAGATAAAACAAACTCTCTCTCTCTCTGTGAACGTGCACGCAGGAAGTTCCTATCATGTTGAGAGCGCGAGATATGACGTAAGTTGCTTGCCGCGCAGTGATGATGGCGGTGCGTGAACGCGCAGTAAAAGTAATGGCTGCTCTAGATCGGCGGGTGCCTAGCCTCGATGATTTCGTGGGTCAAAGCTGGACTGCCTGGGCCGAGTGGGCCGGTGTGACAGCGGCAGAGGGTAAGGAAGAACATCGACGCAAACACTGGCAGCTAGTGAGCCATGTAACCAAAGCACCGGGCTTTATTTTCGTTGAAACGGAGCACAGAGCTAACCATGTTACCCAAACAAAGACCCTGCCGGGTCCTAGCGCTGGGTGGGTAACATGTTGCTCTCCTGGTCCCACTGCATTCGTTGTCTTCAAGAAAAAACAAGTGATGCTTATTAAGGTAGAGCCATTATAGTGTGTGCTTTAAAGCGGTCCCCATGACACAAGCTGCCAGCCTTCATTGGGTTTTTAATGTTAGTGAAAGCAGCCGGGCAGCAGTGGCATCACAGCGGAAGGAGGCTAGAGTAGATGGTTGGGCGAACAACTTCTTCCCGTGGAGAGCTAGCTAGCTCGCGACAAGGCAGTTAGCGTTAGCCTGCTAATGCTAGCAGCAGCAGGGTTGAGAGTAGACACCGGTGACGGAGGAGGGGTCTGATGTAAACGCTGGCCGTGCATTTGATATGAGCTAACGTTACTCTGTGTTCTTTCGTTTCAGAACAGTGTTCTCCTGTGATTGCCAGCCCCCCCAGCCTCAATTTAACTCTTGTTAATTGTGTGTATGCGACAGGAAGTATCGTATGTTTTGACTTCTGCCCTAAAGGGGCTCCTGCTCTCCCCATCTTGGAGTGTGTACGCTCATTCATTGCCTGGCATCCCTCAAAGTGTTACTTTGTTCAGAACTCAAATAAAGTCTCCCTCCATCCCAAAACACTTGAAGCTACTGATTGCTGTTTGAAAATGAAACCAAGAGAAGGGTCAGCAGGGAAGCAGTTTACCTGCACATTGTTCCTTTATGTAACCCAGTGTAAGGGGCCTGTTATGTGCAGAATGTGTGCTGTTAGGTTTGTCTTGCTGATGACCCTGTCATACAACTTTTGGAAAACATCTGTCTCTTTTTACGTGTGATGTTTCAGGCACTGATGTAGGTGACTGCAGCAAGAATGGCAAAAAAGCTGCAGAGGCCATGTCACTCAGTAAGGAGGGTAAGTCTGCACACTTTAATCTACCACACATTACTCTGTTGTTATTTGGGACATCTGAAAACAATAACTCCAGAGGCCTGTACTACGAAGCTGGTTCAACCTAACCTGGATATGTTTGAGTTAGCCGGTTGGCCTAATCCAAAACATACGCGCTCTCGCTAAACGGTACTACGACGCGGGTTGTCAAGTGGATCGCTCAAGCCAGCCGTGCCCTATCTAGTTAGGTGCGCGTTCACATGAAAGGGGTGGTATTTGGAGCATTCGACCAATCACAAACATGGAGAAGCGTACTGACAGCGCAGCGTCATACTTCCTGAATGAAAAGTCAACTATAATATTAGACATATAAAGAAGTTAAACTTTAAACATCCATGACTCAAACACTTTATCCAGGATAAAAGCCACATAGCTGCACCTGCAAGGTGAATACAGCTGGTAAAAGAAAAAGTGTTTGAGTGCGTACATTAACAGGTTTATGATATCACTGCCCCGTCTAAGACACGAGTGGATCTTAATTACATTTGTCTTGAGTATTTCGTCAACTTAATGTGTTGCTTAAAATAATACTTCTGCATACAGTATGTGACACTGTAAGTGTTGCACGGCCAGATACAGCTCAGCTGACTCAGATAAGGAAATATATGATACATTATGATGTGATATGCCGCGGACTGTACTTAATGTTACTCTGATCCGGTTACTTATGTTGTGGCAGATATTTAACTCGTTTTCTTAACGCTAATGTTATAATAGTCAGATTGCTCTGAAGATGGGAGGTGATATTCTATTAATGTTCACGTTCACACAGTCGGTGATTTTTGCCGGCCGTCTTTCCTGCAACGGCAGCTTTTCTGTATTTCCTTTCTCCTGCAGTATGACTTAATCGCTTTAAACTCCGCACACTGAGCTCTGATTGGTCAGCAGGCAGTGCTGAGTGCAGAGTTGAGCTCTTAGCCTGCAACCTAACCTGCTCCGGGGCAGGTTAGCCGCACAGCATAAGTTACCATGGAGATCTAGCCTGCTAAAAAGAGAACCAGCTTCGTAGGACTGGAAACCCCGAGTTTTCCGTGATGTTAGCCGGCTAAGCGAAAATCCTGCTTCGTAGTATACCCCCCTGGACTAGTTGTGAATGTGCTTGCATTAATGTGCATGTACAGTGACCTTGGATGCCTCAATGAACTGTGCCTCAGCCTCTCTTTGGTCTCCATTAAGTGGTCTCCGCCCCTGCCTAGAGGCAGAAGAGGTTCTGGTTTGCAGGACCAGGGCGAGCTAAAAAGCTTGCCGGGTTGTGTGTTACACAGCTGTCCTACAGAACCTCCGACAGACACTTTGTGTGTGTTCATCTCGGAGCATGACAAAAAGAAGTTACTTGATAGTAAGTTTAAGCCGTTTGCACCTTTTCACAAACTTTGCATTTACATCACACGGAAATACAAGCCAAAATAAGGTGATGATGTTTGAGCCAAACATTTGCTTAAATTTATAATTTAATGCTTTTTTCTTTTAACTTTTTTTCCCTGACTAAATGTACTTATTTTTAGTGATTCGTTTAGTTCATGTTTCTTCGGGAAATGCATACTATGCAATATCATCTCCATACACTTTATAATAGCTTTAACCTGCTTCTTCCGATACAGTATAGCTATGTGTTTTATAAAGTGGGATTGTATTGTAGAGGTACTTATCTAGAGTCTGTGGAAAAGACGGTCGGAGCGCTCCTTTTTTTTGAAAGGCAGAAAGGACTCGGAGTTCTGACATCCCGCTCATGGAGGCTAAGCAATTAACTGCTGCAGCAGCTAAATGTATTTTAGTCAACTAAAGAAAACCCCACATAAAAGAATCAACATCTATTTGAAGTGTTTTCTTTGTTTAGAATCTGACAACCCAATTTAAGAGATAATCTAAGATGTTCTTTTAACACATTGCATCCTAGATAGGTCGCTGGTCTATCACATGCCGACCAATATATACACAGGCAAACATTCACAGTTGCAGGCAAATTAGTCACCTATTGACAAGGCCTGAAGGTGGTTTGATTAAGTGAAGTAAATTTAGGATGTTGAGAAAACCCTCTCCGCAAGAACAAAAACACAATCCAGTGTAGATCTGTTTCCAGCCAATACATTTAACTAGTAAATGGCATGTTATAACAAATGTGTCAGTTCTATTTATTTATTAAAAGGTAAAAATATAAATTATTGTAGATGTCTAGAAGTAAGTCCAAGTTGATGTCAGAATCCAAGAAGTTGGAGACACTATTGTTACCAAATGGCGTTTACCATCAGAATGCTGATTTTCTATGCTATATTCAACCAGTCTAGTTTAACTCTGACAGTGCTTATAAGTGAGAAGATCTAACACCTTTTCATAATGCAGGATGATACTGGGCTGCTTTGTGACATTGCTATGTGACATTTGGCAGTAAAATAAGTATGTCTCTCTCCTCTCTATAAGACATGTCCATCTTCGGCCTATACCCCGGCCGTGATGACTTCTACCTGGTGGTGTGCAGCCATTGTGGCCAAGTAGTGAAGCCGCAGGCGTTCGAGAAGCACTGTGAGCGACGACACGGCCCCCTGGCCAAGCTGTATGCCCGGCTGCGCTCCCCCACCCCTGCTCCCCCACCCCAGCAGAGGCCCCACCACGGCCATTCTCCTTCTCATGGGACCAACGCTGCTTCCGCTTCATCCTGGGAGAGTTGTGGCCAGGGGGCCGGGCAGCCAAAGCCAGCCCCCCCCTCACCTTCCACTCCACCACAACACAGACACTCCAAGAACCCCAAGGATGGCGTACGGTAAGAACAGAGTGGGGCAAGTTGGGGGGTCAGGGATAACTTAACTTCAGGGTTCACAGAATAGACCTTCACACAAAATAGAGAACACGTCATTTTCACCCTAAAACCAAATGTAAGAACAAGGTGTCGTTTTTGGGGGAGTATGTGTCAGAAACAGGAACCTCCATCAGGAAGACCTGCACACAACCGCAGTGAAACCACAACCAGTTTTTTACTCTTCGGTTTGTTATCCAAGCCAATTTGGGATCATTACAGCCAAATGTGGCTCCGTGTCATTTAAGTTTGTTCAAATGTAATGGTCTGCAACTGAGGCTATCAATACACCACCAACATTTTGATTCTATAGCACGATCAGTTTGCAATTAAAACTGATTTGCATTGGAATTACAGTCTAGCCAGTTGTATCGCACAAAGTAAAGAATGTAGTAATTGCAAATGAATCTCAAACACTAACTAGTAATTTTTTTGAAAAACAAGATAAACTAGAGAATGCTTTATGCTGAAAAGCTGACGCTAAACTGCTATGCTGAAATGTAATGTGTAAGAAGAAAGTGAAGAATTTAGATTGAAATTATACACTGGGGGCTTGAATGTGTGATGAGAGAAGAAAAGAAAGTAAAAAGGCTTGGAAAAGCAGCTTTTCGGCGCCTCCCGCTTTTTTAACGCTGATTTGGGTGACTTGTGTAATTCTTGGAGAACTGAAGAGAGGGGGGGGGGTGTCCGTCCGTCCGTCCATCCGACTGACGGACAACTTCTCACTTCAAAAAAGAAGAAGAAATCTAGATCCTAAAATTATTAAACAAGCGAGTGACTGTTTTTCCTGACCGATGACAGGTTCCTTGAACACAACACGAGCGTAACGTGTCTTCACGTGGTATATGTCTCGTCTGAAAGGAGTGCTGACGGAGAGCACCGGAACGCCGCTCCAGCTCTTCAAATATTACAGTACCCATAAGGAGCCGTACACATGCCACAGTGTTTGCGTGGCTGTGTCTTTAGTTGTAAGCACAGTGGCGATCTGTTGTTATTAGCATCTGGTTAGCTAGCTATGCTAACGAATTTAAAGAGCTTTTCTACAACCAGGTGGAAGAGAGCTCTCTTCTGAGAGGCTCAAATAACCTCAGCTCAGTGAGGTTAAGGCACACCTTGATATGATCATTATAATTATTAATGAGACATTAGAGACTAAATGAAAAACAGGTATAAAATACTATATGACAGTAACAAAAAAGTTGTTAAAAATAACAAGAATAGACTTTAAAAGGGGAGTGATTTGTAAAATATCCAAAAAGAAAAATCTGCTCACAGTTCTGTTTCAAATGGGTGTTGAGATGTATCCATAGATCTCCTAATGTTACTCTCAAAGATGATGCTTTTAACTTCAATATTTTAAAAAAAATCTTCCCGGGGGAGCATGCCCCCCGGACCCCCCCTAGAGGAGGTTGAGTTCAATAATTTGTACGGCCCTCGGAGGATGTTGTAAAAATTGAATTGAACAGAACAGAATTGAATTGCTGTAAATAATAATAAAAACCCTTGATTTATAACTTAACATCTCTGTCTCCTACTGATCTGAGTATATTAT